GTCGACCACTCAACCATGATGTGTCCCGCACAGTGCTCGTGCCACACATCCTCCGGCGATAGAGCCATAATGCGGAATGTCTCCCATGTACGGTCGGTCAGACTTTTGGCGGGTCGCAACGTCAGGAGGACTTCGACATCAGATGTCAGTCCGTCAGTGCGTCGTTCAGGGATCATGATTGACTTGGTAAACGAGACATTTTTCAGGTGAATCTGAGAAATGACACCCTGGATCTTTCTGTCGACGCTGATCTGGCGCACTGCCTCTACAGCCATAGAGAGGTATCCAGAAGCAGGGAAAATGGCGAAGCCATCGACAATGTGATCGCTAAGCCACGGAAGGCTTCCCACTCCGAGAAGGTTGCGCCAAGTGGGTTCATGGTTGGTGGTTCCCGGGACACGAAGGCCGAGAAGGTCATGTGGCGGGTGCGCGCGGAAGCGATGCTCCTTGCTGAGCTTCGATTCGTAGAGGAAGCTCGTGGAGTGATCCCAAGGATACGGATCAAGATCATCAACCAACGTAGCAGATTGATTTTCTCCCAGGGTCGTTTGTAGCGAGACTGGGTACCCGAACTCGAACAGCTTGCCAGCTGTCTCAAGAAGGGAAATCGCAGCATCACGGCCTCGAGACAGGGTGGATAGGTAACTTGACTTGAAGCTAGTCAAATTGAGCCCCTGAATAGTCTGCCGGACTGGACCTGCCAGGGCACCGTGAGGGCCCACCTCGGTGAATAGAGTGAGGGGCGCTGGCTCGAGGTCCGCGAGTTCTGTGCGACAGAGGAGCTCCAAGGCATTTCCAAAGCGGACTGGAGAGACCAGGTTGTCAACCCAGTACTGAGCATCGAAACCAGATGTCTTGTGTGCAACGGCAACAGAAGAGTAGAACTTGATGGCAGGGTTCGGAGTGCGCGCTTCGATGTGCGCGATGGACTCGAGATATTCGGCTGCAACCTTCTTCATGTGATGAGAGTGGTAGGCCGTGTCCACCTTCAACTTTCGGTTGAATATGGACTCCTCGTCAAGGATTTGCTTGAGCTCGTCGATGGCAGTCTCGTCTCCAGAAATGGTTGTGCTGACAGGGGAGTTGACACATGCGACGCAGATGAGCCCTGTCTTGGTCTGCTCAATGTATTTCTTGACATCGTCTTCGCCCAAGCCGACGGCCATCATCGCGCCTCTGCTCGAGATGACACGCGCGCATGCCTGCGACATGAATCCGCGCCTGTACGATATCTCGAGCGCAGTTGCGTGGTCTAAGGCCTCGGCAGCATAACCAGCAGCTATTTCACCACTGCTATGTCCGAGCACAAGATTGGGGAAGACTTGGTAGCTCTTGAGGAGATCTACCAATGCAATTTGAATCGCTGTGGTAGAGGGCTGGGAGATCTCAGCCTGCCCAACTCGCGAGTTGTCCTCGTCTTTGGAGAGCTCTTCGATTAGACTCCAGTCAGCCCCAAGATCCGTCAGGATCTTCTCCGAATGGAGCATTGACTTTCTAAAGACCGGATTCTCCCTGGTTAGCTCACGGCCCATGGCATGCCACTGGGCTCCTTGCCCCGTGAAGAGGAACACGAAGCGGAAGTTTGACGCTGCCTTGGTGATGCGAGGCTTCTGTTCGAGAAGGCTGATGAGCTCACCATGGCTGGCCGCTGCGACACTTGATCGAAATTGCAGCTCTGATCTGCGAGTCGACAGAGTATAAGCAAGGTTAGAAAGTGAAGAGGCGTCGTGATGGGAAGAAACCCATCCTCGCAGATTGGCCACCATGGCCTGCAAAGATGTCTCCGATCGAGCTGACAAGACGAAAAGCTTGGGATTGGACAAGGTCCTCCCGTTGGCAGTATCCGAGTCGACCTTCTCGACATGGTCTTTGGTCTTGCCGTTGAGGCCGTTGTGTCCATTAGTCCCTTGGGTTCCGTTGATCCCGTTTGATCCGTTTATTCCATGATCCGGAGACGTACTTTCCTGCACCTCTGTATGTCCGTTTGTGCCGTTTTCTTTCGTGGTATGCCCATTAGTGTGCCCATTTGCATGTCCGTTGGTATGCCCATTGGTGCCATTTGACTTCTCTGGAGCCAGTACGCTGTCCGCTTTCTCGTAGCTAGCTGGAGCTTCCAGGATGACGTGGGCATTTGTTCCGCCGTAGCCAAAGGAGTTGACAGACACACGGCGGGGACCAGTTGACTCAGGGAGTGGAACCATTTCAGTAGCAATCTTCGGGTCATGGTCAGCAACAGTCTAAATAGTCAGGTAGAAGCTTCTTGTACCTTTATCTTGCGCTCTTCTAGATGTAGCGTAGGCTTCGGCTTTATGAAATCAATGTTGGGCGGGATTGCGCCATGCTTCAAGATTAGAATGGCCTTCAGCAATCCGGCGACACCACTTGAAGCTTCAAGATGGCCAATGTTTGACTTGATAGAGCCAACATATAGACCGTTCTCGCGTTGGCCTTCGGGACAGAAGACTTCCGCAATGGACGATATCTCTGCGCTATCACCTACTCCATTGTTAGGGTCCGCCTATGGTAGATACACGTGATGAAAAGCAGAGGGAAGTGGAAGTAGACTGGAGCTAGGACATAGAGTGAGAATCACATACCAGCTTGAGTTCCCGTGCCGTGAGCCTCGACGTATACAGTATCTGCTGGGTTCAGCCCGGCGTTCTTGTACACGAGGCGCATAAGATTCGCCTGGGCAATGGGATTGGGTAGCGTAAGGCCGACTGTCTTGCCGTCCTGGTTTAGCCCAGAGTTCCGGACGAGGGCATGAACCCGATCACCGTCTCTAATAGCATCATCGAGACTCTTGAGAATCAAAGTGACAACACCTTCGCCTCTTGCGTAGCCAGCGCCGCGGCTATCAAAGACGTAGCATTTACCATCTGGATTGGTCATGCTGCGTCCATCTCGTCAGCTCTTGTTCAAATTACAAATCACACATACAAAAAGGATGAGACATACCCGACACTGCTCATGGGGATAATCTGATCAGGGGTAAGAACAAGTTGGGTACCGGCGACGATAGCCATCTTTGATTCTCTTGCTCGGAGCCCATGACATGCCTGATGCAAGGCTACCATACTTCCTGAGCACCCAGTGTCAACTGTGCTTGATGGGCCATTGAGATCAAAGACATAGGATATTCTATTAGAGAGAATTGCGATTCCTGTGCCGATCATATGGGCCTTGGGCGTTCTTGCTGTATCCTTGTAGCCCATGCGTTCAAAGCTATATGAGTGCACACGTTAGACCGAATGTGCTTCCAGCCTGGGCGGATATGTTCCCTGAGAGGCACTCTCGCTCCATCAAGTATAAAGGACTCACTCAGTAGCATAAGCTCCAACGTGTACAGAAGTATCGGATCCCTTGATGCCGGCAATGGTTTGCCCAGCATTTTCGAGAGCCTCATACGTCGTCTCCAATAAGATGCGCTGCTGTGGGTCGAGGCAGTGGGCTTCATGAGGGTGTACGTTGAAGAACCGAGCGTCAAAAGCAGTAATGTCTTGGTCCAAGAAGTAAAGGCCCTTGAAGTTGACAGCTTCTTTTGCTTCGGGGTCAGGGTGATAGAACGCATCTTTGTTCCATCTATCTTCGGGTATCTCACGCCAGCCACTCCGGCCTTCTGAGAGCATATTCCAGAGTTTGGAAGGGTTATCCGAGCCACCAGGCAGACGGCATGCCATGCCAATGATGGCAATTGGACTAGGTGATGACTCCGTCATGTTGTTAAACGAAATAAGAACAGCCTCAAGAGGTATGCTTCAACAAGAATTTCGACGAAGAGATGGCGACAAGCGAGAGTTCGAATGATTCCTCGAGGTATTCGAGCTTCAAAATCTCTTATAATCCAATTATTTGTGCTTGGGGAAACTGACATTTAATGCGAAATCAATATGTGCCCATCATTTGATCCTACATGGAGGTATCCTCAGTGACACGGAGCACTTGGCATCTCACTTTTCAGGGTGGAATATCAGGAGGCAGTAGGACCATGAGCGCTAATCGGAACAAGATTTGACAGCCCCTCTACGATGGCGAATCCTACAGCCCTGAAGATAAGGCTCGTGTATCACAGAAATCGATGTTCAGGAGTTGAGGATTGTAGCTGACAGCCTACTGTCGAATCGGCAACGCGGCTTTGGACGGCTCGCTGTGCCTCGCACGGCAAGTTCTGAACCAAAGTGCAAATCCGCTTTTGGAAGACTTGCGATCCTTCGCGGCCCAGGCCGTATGATAAGTCCAAGATAGGAATGCCGAACTGTTGCCTAGTGGGGGATGCATGTTTTGAAGGATTCAGGGGATCCTTCGATGTGATAGCAAGTCTTGCCGCCGTGATTTGGTCCCGAAAATTCCGGCATCTGTCTTCTCGCGCCTTTTCTGTGCTATTGTGCCAAAGATGGCAGGATGTATGGTCTCAATAAGGTGACGGATGTATGACTTGCGTCTACACAATCTCGATATGGCGTTTACGAAGCCTTCGCCAAGTTGTGTGCGGCTCGGCTAGCTAGACGCCGCAGCCACGCGGCACAGCACAGCTTACTTATATAAAGGTGGTAAGCTTCTCGGCACGAAGATCCGTGGGCTTCTTGGCTGGCCCCCATGGGGATGATTCGATTTAGCCAGAATACCCCGCGCCACCAATCTTACATCCCAATTATCCACAAGGCGTCTCGGGCCGACTTGCATACACCTACTACAGTCTTGGGCTAGAGGTCGGAACCAAGGGAATCTCAGCCGTCATTATTTGTCCCGCATGTCATCCAATCGTTTACCAAACAAAGTGAAGGGTTGGCCAACAATGGGGTTGAGCCAAGAGACGTGTTGGGCCAATTTACCAATCCGCCGGTATCGCCAGTCCCCTTTCACGGGCCTTTGAACCTTCAACCTGTCGTTAGCTTTAAATACGTCCAGTCGAGGGTTCCTCCACTTTCTCTGCAGGTTGAGATACCCTATCCTCAACAAGGTTTCCAAAGATCCAACATTTCCACAAAGCTCGGTTCACAATGTCGGCCCCCGAAGGCTACATTCCAGGATTCGTCTGCACTCTAGACACATGCTCCGTTGAACAATGGGGCTTCGTCCGCTACCGACCAAGTGTCGCCGGAAATGTTCTCTTTCTGGTGATTATGGCCCTGCTCGCATGCGGTCAGATCTTTCTCGGCATAAAGCACAAAACAAGGGGTTTCATGATAGCTATCTGCCTCGGCTTATTGACGGAGACCGTTGGATACATTGCTAGGGTCCTCTTGAATGGAAACCCTTTCAGCAGAGACTACTTCTTGTGGTATCTCATTACTCTAACAATCGGTCCTGTATTCATCGCGGCAGCCATCTACCTAACTCTCGGGCGCATCGTCGTGATCAATGGGGAAGCCATTAGCCGGATCAAGCCTCGCTCGTACACGACATTTTTCTTGGGATGCGACATTGTCAGTCTTGTTGTTCAGGCAGTTGGGGGAGGAATTGCGGCGTCTACGCCTTTAGACAACCCGCACATGGTACGCATTCAATCTTCACCCGCCTTTGTCATGGCAATATGCCTTCGACTGCTTCTGAACTTTGTTACTGATACTTTGGTACTTCAAGATCGATGTGGGAACAAACATTCTTGTGGCCGGCCTGTCGATACAGGTTGCTTGTCTGTTTGCATTCACTGCCTGCAGCCTCGAATTCCTCTGGCGCGTGAAGAAGAACCCAGAGATGCGGAATCCCGAGTTTACCGATTTGGTCAACAGCAAAAGATACAAACTGTTCCTGTTTGGTATTTTCCCTGATCGATGTCAACATGAACCAGATCTATGAAGCTAACGATGTTGAAAGCACTGTTTGGTGCAACAGCATTCTTGTTTATACGAACCGTTTTCCGTTCTGTTGAGCTCAGCGAGGGTTTCGGTGGGAAGCTTGCCAACCAAGAGGTTGAGTTCATGATCCTCGACGGAACCATGATTATACTAGCATGCTCGTGCTTGACTATCTTCCACCCAGGTTATGGCTTCGGGAAAAGGTGGAACGAGGCTAAATTCCGATTCCGTGCCTCCAAGGCAAAGGGGAGTCCACAAACCATCACCCCTGGTAGCAGCGAAAAGGCTGCGCCGGAGACATCCGCAGAGAGGTTGTAAGCATGTGGCTTGTTTAACATTTGCAGGAAGACAACAAAGGAGATCCCCATTGAGGTTCAAACATTCCATGCGGAAGATATGAATACTTTTGGGAACACACTGCTGAAGGACTAGTCACATCTCGCTGCTTGTGCATTTTCTTCATCTAACAATACATAAAGCCTCCATGTCAAAACCTCCCTAAGTCATGACGGTGTTTTGCTGTTAGTGCAGGATATTCAATTATGGTCTTGCTGTTTACTCCAGTGATATAAAGTAATTTGCCGCCCGCTGTGTAAGTTAAAGTCCCATGTTCAAAGTCAGATGGTGTCTTTTATTCTTTCCAATGTTGCGCATTTGGGCAAGACGTAATCCAACCATAGATCTCTCAAGTAAGTACTCGCGGTTGTTCGATGTTGCATTAATGGTGTCTAAATCAAATATCTGGCCCCCTGATTTACTTCAATTGAACATGAACGGGTTTGCCATCGGAGGCACACTGGTAAATAGCTGATACGACACCAAAATTGAACTCGAGCCTGCTCCTGGATAGAGCAACGCTGTCGCGTCCCTCGATTAAATCGACAAAGGACAGTAAGGGGCGTTGATTTGCGTCCTCCCACCCGAAAGCAGGAAACTTCTCTTCCTTAGCCTCGACTTTGCCGTTGTTGTCGATATAGTGCACCAGCTTGAAGCCTTGCTCTAGCTCATCGACTTCGTCCTTGTAGTCAAAAGTCGGGACCCATTCCCATGTCAGACCACCAGCCGTGCCGTCGATACTCAGAGCGACCTGGGCGTCTCCATGGAAACCGCTTGCTCGCTCCCAGTAGAATGGGATCACAGTGCCGTCCTGAAGCTTCAAAGTCAGAGACGCGCCAGCATGTGTCTCGACAGAAATGACTGTCCCAGACGGGTCAGCACCAGTAGTTGGCGTGGCCAGCCAGGCATGGTTGACCGTGGCAGCGACTGGGCGGAGAACGTCGAAGAACATGGTGACATCGTAGACGCCCCAGTCGAATACGATGCCGCCGCCAGACTTCTCCTTCTCCAAAAACCATCTGCTCGACGGTTGATACTCGATTCCCGCGCGAGCTCTTGGCTGGCGGTTGATAAAGCGGGCATGATAGATAGACCCTATTCCACCCGTCTCGATCAAATGGCGGGCGCGATCCAAAGCTTTATTTCCGAGATATCGAAAGCTGCACTCTCCAAAGACTCTATTGGCTTCAGCACTAGCGGCTAACATCTCATTCATCTCCTTCTCGGATGTTGCCAGCGGCTTTTCGCAGAGAACATGGCGGTTGGATCGAAACGCGCGTAGTGTTGCTGCGTGGTGCAGGAATGGAGGCACGGCTACCACGACTATGTCGCGCTCTTGCCCTGAGGAACTGGCGAGCATTGTCTCTACATCTTCATAGACAGTAGCTTTGGGTAATTTGGCGAGTAATGCTTCCCGAGCATCTTTCGAGGGGTCTGCAGCAAAAAGCTGAACATCGTCGCCCAGGCTTTCCGCCGCAACGCCATGTCGCCATGCAATTGAGCCAGCGCCGTACAGGTAAACTCGCCAGGCTTGAGGCATTTCGTTGAATTCAGATATATCGAGAACGTGTATGTTTGGCAAAGAAGAGGTTGTTCGTTGACACTATCGTGAGGTGCTTGGAGAAGGGACATTCTTCGCCAGGCCGTCTGGCCTAATGACCGCGGTCGGTAGCGGAAGAGGAAAGTCGAAGTATCATGCAAACCCCGCCAATCCTTCCGGCTGTATCTTCAGGGTTCATGTAGGCTGATGATTTCGACTTTACCCTTCGCGATCCTTCGCGATCCTTCCCGTTTTCCGGACGGGACGCCTCAGGCTCAGGGGCCGGAGGCGACGGGCCGCCTGCTTCAAGACGGTGGCGCGCCCCTCAGTTGTAGGATTTGACCGGATATGGAAGTTTTGCATATTTGAAGGTGCTTAGCTGATGTAAGATGTAACACTTGCCGTTCCAGTAGAAATGCAAAGGGCTCCATGTAAGGTACCACAAAGCTGTATGCGCCGTCACAATGCAGCTTCCAGCGCGCGTAAGATGAAAAGATCTTTCGTCCATTACGCCGCTTTGATCTCATCCGGGACATCTTTGTGATTGCATCAGACGGTCCGCTTGTCCGGAGCCTAAAGTAGGTCTATCTTTCTCTGATCCATCGGATAATGGCGGCCGCGACGCGTAATCCTTTGGAAACTTGGAACGAGGCTCCAGGTCCTCGAAAGCCTCCAGGAGAGCTGGGCCTTGCGTCTTCAACATCGAGGAAGCACATTTGATTGATTGTGTTGCTTATATGTTGTCGAATGTTGTATGACTTGTCCTTTTGTAGAGAAGACCAAAACAAACCAGCTTCAATCTGGCCGCCTGCAGTAAACCTTTCAGACTAGCTCTTTCGCCGCCTCTCAAGATGGTCGGAGTAACAAACGGGACCAAGCTCAGCCAGGTTCTCAAAGTCGGAATCATTGGTCTGGGAGAGCTCGCGCAGGTTTGTCTTACATTTGAATCCATTTTTCCGCAGACACTAAAGCTTCACCAATGCAGGTGTCCCATATTCTTGTGCTGAACAGTTTGTCCACTCATTTTGAGGTCACTTACATCTCCGATGTCTCTCAGCAAGCCCTTGACCTCTGCACGAAAAAGGTCGCTGGCGGGTCACCCAAGACGACATTGAATGCTGAAGAGCTGATTACCTCTCCCGATACGGACGTTGTGGTCATCTGCAACGTCAACGCATTCCATCCTCCACAAGCGATCCTAGCTCTTCAACACAACAAGTATGTATTCGTAGAGAAGCCTCTCGCATTGAACTACCGCGACCTTGATGCCATCATCGCGGCGGAGCAGACCTCTGAGGCGAAGGTCTTTGTCGGATACCAGAGGCGATATGCCGAATCTTTCCTCGATGCTGTGAAGGAAGTGGGAGGGATGGAAAAGATTGATTACATTCGCGTCAGGGGTATGTTACTGTTCGACATGTTGAAGATTATAGACCAAGCTGACAATAGATACTGTAGATATCATTGGGCAAAATAGCTCTTTCGTAGACCAATCTGGCACATTTCCCAAGAAATACACCGACTACCCGAAGCAAGATACGGCAGAGATGAAGTCTACCGAAGAAGAGATGGTCAAAACAGCGCTCATCAAAGAAATTGGGGTTGACGCAACGCCAGGGTCAATGACAATGTTCAGGTTGTTCACAGGGTAGGTCACATCTCTCGGCAGAGCCGACCCGAAAAAAGAGTTTCCTTCTCGCTGACCCATCACGTCTATCTGATAGACTTGGAGTACATGACTTCTCTGCGCTGCGCGAGATGGTCGGCATGCCCTCACGAGTTGTAGGTGCCTCTCTTGGGTTGCCAATCTGGAGCGTGTTGTTCCAATACGAAGGCTTCCCCGTCATGTACGAGTCAGGTATCATCGACGTACCCAGATTTGACGCTCACATCGAGATCTACTCGCGAGAAAAGATTGTGCGCGTTGACTACGATACTCCGTACGTTAAGGGGCTTCCTATTACCATGACCATCAGGGAGAAAATCGAGACCGCCAAAGGTGACGGTTACCAAGAGAAAATTGTCAGGAAAACGTATGAGGATCCCTTCACGCTTGAGTTCCTGGATTTTCACTCTTGTGTAACGAAGAAGACTATCCCGAAGACCTCGGCCGTGGATGCTCGGGAAGACCTGGACTTGATAAAGATGATCATGCAGAATGCCTACTAGTGTATCTCACTTTGAAGATTGAGTCCGACCTATCCAAGACCAAGCTTTGCAAAATAACGAATAATTTCGCGACTTGAGTCTTGCTGAAGCTACCTTAGGTACCTATGTGATCGGGTGTTTGATTGACCGGCTTCCTCTTTCCAGCAAAGCAAAAGACCCGAAGAATAACTTCATTGGAGATCGTGTGATTAAAATACTTGAACTCCATAAAATCGTATCCTTAGTAGTCACAGACGCAAATTTGTAAGAGATTATCATTCGGGCCGCACGTTCCGAATTACTTATGCAACGCTACTATTCTTGATATTTGCAGGCAGAGGTCGTGATCATACAGAATGTTGCAGCGCCATTTACGACTCATTCAGTTGATGCCGGTTACCCGGCCACCTCGCCGGGCCAATGTGTCGGTCTAGTCTTAATATTCCTCAAATTACTCATCTACATACTACAAGATCTCAAAGTTCTGCCTCCTTTTACCATCTCTTCCGTATATCTATCAATCTCATCAAAGGACATGCCCTTTGTAACGAATCCGGTCAAGTCTGCCCAGCCCCGACAAGAGACAATCAAAGATCAACAAGGCAGCCGTAGCCTATAGGTGAAGGGGAAAGTAAAATAGAGTGTTCTCGGTTATTATGTGGGACCTTTACGGACTCGCCGCGTGCGAAGACCTCATTTCCGCTGGCTTGTGACTTTCACGACAGATCTTTACCGGAAACGAGGGACCAATCACTCACAACCACAGTTTTAAAGTCCTCATAGACGCAGATGATTTCTCCTTATTTGATCGCGAACATAGTACTTGGAATTCCGAGCATGTGATGACGTGGGTTTGGTCAATGGCCTTCTTCCAGATATCACTCGGTACAGGCTTGATTCCTATACCTAGGTAAGACCTCAGGACATTTCTGGTCAGAGTAAGTTAGTATTCACTTCGACTTGGGATGACTGTCAATATGCGTGTGGCGTAGGGTGGACGCCCCCAGAGGCTACCTGACAGGCTGTTGGGGTCAAATTACTGAAATCTCTCCCATGAATAGACGTGTGCTCCTTACGTGATTATATATATCCGACCTGCTCCTTTGTTGCTTGTGTCCCCCTAATTTGCCCTTACGAACCTCCTTCCGGAAGGGCACTGACAACAACAATTTATTTACGTTTGTCAAATCCATCTTGTTTGATCCTTCTCGATCGAGATATGACTCGGTGCAATCCTAGTAAGAGGATACACATAAATTGGGCACGGACAGAGGCGGGACGCTTGTCAGACGCC